CCTGTGGCTTCTTCCTCTTTATTGCGAAATTTCCTCTAATGTACGTATTCGTACTGTACACTGTATAAATACATACACCCTATATATAGTGGGCTGCAAAATGATAATTAAGATTGCGACCGAAGAAAACAAATGCAAATAAAATAAAGTTGTACGAAATAAGGTAACATTGACTTCTTAAATTCGTTTGATTTCTCGAATTCTTCGGTTGTTGCGAGGAGGGCGGCTTCATCATCATCATCATTATCATAAAACTCTTAATTATTTATTTGCAGGAATACCTAATGTTTTGCATTAACGTTATTTTACATGAATAACACATTATCGATAAATATCATATCAGTTGGTTATACGTATATATTACACACGATTATTTTGATTTCCTTTTTTAAAACCATTACAATTAATACTTTCTGGATGTTCGTTCAGTTTTTTTTTATATAAATTATTCATCCAACCATCCACTAAAAAAATGTCTGAGTATAGTAGATTTTAGTTATGCGTCTTTTCTACACCTTGTTATAGCTAAATATATTTATAGAAATGAAGAGTGGTTGGTTCAATTGGTAAGTGGGTATATGCAAAGAGTGTTTCACGCCAGGTTCGAACTTCGTCCGGGGCAAATCACATATTATTAAAAAAAACAAATTTATTCTCCAGTGTAAACAAAACAAAATTGTTCCTTTATGTTGTATCAAAGGGAAGAGTTCAATGAATCTGATCTAGGACCATATATATGTATGACTTATATGACAAGGAATTCACAAAGAGCAAGCAATTTCAATAAAATAAAATAAAAATATGGCGAACACAACATTTATTATATTCAAAAACTGAAATATTTAATTGATGAAATTGGTCACATGCCCATCGTGACTCACCACCTGCAACGTGTATCAGTCCAGTTCTCGTGTGTCTGCCGATAAGTCCCAACACTCGTACAAGTAAAAAATAAAAATAAAAACAATTTACAAACTGAATGGTATTGAACAACATATAATTATATTATTATGTTAAATCCGATTTAAAGATTGATTCAGTGCGTTTTTTTTATAAACCAATTTAATCCAATCAAAAACAACCTTGCTTGAACCAAATTGTAAAAATAAAATATATATATATATATATAATTTGCTAAAATATCTATCCTAAACATCATGTATATATATATATATATATTGGTTTTAGAAACATCATATATATAGTCGCTTATTTCACGGAAAAGCTATAAAAAATTTAAAAGTTCTTTTTTCTTTTGATTAGAGACGAAATTAAAGTGAAAATGTTGAGAAATCAAACGAAAATTTAGGGGTTGATTTTCTCAAAACTAATTCTAGATTCCGAATAATCGACGAAACTTTAGTAATCAGGCCAAGCTTTTATCCTTATAATGCGGTATAACACAACACCAATGACTCGCATGAAACATACATACAATATATCTAATATATATATATATATATATATATAGTGTGTACAGAGTTTGGGACTACTCAGAAAGTGGGAACATTTGGACTTGTGTAGTGGATGAATATAGTAATCACACTGATGACATTATTAGGCACGAACAGTTAATGTTGTGTCGCATTATATATATATATATATATATATATATATATATATATAATATAAGTTATGTTTACGTGGTAACGCTCGGTGTCGTCCACCGCCTATCCTATTACAATCACGACATTCGATAGATCAGTTTGGTTCACTTGATTTGATTTGGTAATTTGGTCGCAGATTTGATATTTGGTAATTGATATGTCCCATTCTCATGTCGACAAAGAGACTGGACTTCCCATGCATTGGAAATTGTATACTCATTTGTATCATAATTTTTAGGTTTCCCGCCGTGACTTTGTAATCAGATTTTTTTTCTTCATAATTTATACTATATTCTTATCACCCATAATTTTGTATTTATGTTGCATTTTACCTCAAAAGAAAGGGATCTATGAAAGAAACATGATAATGAAATAATTATGTTTTTTTTATAACGGAACATCCCTATCTGCTACCATTCGAACGCGTTGACTAGGTAAACCTCCGGTACGGAAACAGTCTTTGTATATGGACCATATAGACCCAGAAATTACCTCCCTCCTCACCAGGTAAGAATCGAACACTCAAACTCAAGGTGGAGTTACCTACTACCCCAAACTTGAATGAAATAATTATGTTATTGATGGATAAGCTGAACCGATTTCCATTTGGTGATAAATACACCACAGCAAAAATTAACTTTTAAGAAAATAAAAATGAAAACAACTTCAAAGTTTTTGGTAAAAAAAAACAAAATTTGAAAGCAAACCCTAAAACCGAAACTGCACGAAAAGTAAATATCATTCGTTTTCGTTTAGAATATGGTTTCGTTTCTCCAAACACACTAACCCAAACACTAAGAAATGCATAATAAAGTAGGCTTAAATAATCAGGAAATGCAGATAATAAATAAACTGAAATAAAAAAATAAAAAAAGGGAGGAAATTAGGGTTTGGGGGGGGGGGAGAAGACGAGGAAGTGGGTGTTTCCCGTGGCCATGCAAAGATGTCACAGTCAACGGCAGACACCGACACACGAAACTCATGTGAACTGTTTTCTCTTTCCTTTAGTTGATCTCTGTTTCCTTGTGTTCTCGACGAAAACCACAGTAAGAAAACAAACAAATCGATACTATTCCATATCCAAAGTGGACAAAATAAACTTTACTTTATAATAATGGCTTACACGTTTTTTTTTTTTTTCAAAAATATTTTCAACCGTTTCTCGTGCAATTTTGACTGGGAAACAGCATTCATCGTCGTGTGTGTATACATATACGCATGATGAGTCGCGTGCAAGAGATTGGAGCAAGTGCTCCTATAATTTCTAACGCTCCGCTATATAATATTTTATTTAACTATCATTTATCAGTTACTATATATATATATATATATTTACTTTTTTGGATATTCCATAATGCAACGACGACTGGTTACTTCAAGACGAGGTGAAGAGTAGCGGTATAGTAACGTACATAAGCATCATATATACGTATTGCGTATATATGAATATCGAATGTTAAAATTGTGTATTCAATTGGAACAAATTAGATTGATCGCATGTGATCATGTGGGTATTGAAATGAAAATGGTTCATATACAAAGGTTGGTTCTGGATTTAGGGTGGATGTAGTCGGACCGAAGGTCGGAGGAACCATGGTTATAAAAAAAAATCAGAAAAATAAAATCAATATCGATCGAACATTTGTTTTTCGGCTATTCGATGGATCGAGTGGTGGCTAACGAACCATGCCATGGTGCCGTCTCATTCTGTATGTTTAAAGTTGGACCCGATTGTCAGGCCCAATAAAAATTTTTACGTTGCTCTCGTAATGGGCCTATAAGCCCATTATGGGGGTCTAAGCAAAACCAAGTACGTGGCCATTGCATTACATCACTTGGTTCTAATATTTTTTTTTCTAGGATATATTATATGTAATTTCCACTATAGGTTATATATTTCAAATAAATATGGGTAAACTTTATCATAGATGCACATGCGCTCTAGAAATATTGTTTTTACAAAAGTAATTCCAATAATTTCGTTAACATATATATTTTTTTAATAAGATTTCGTGATTTTTACAAAAATGATTGAATAAATGAATACGGAAACGATTTCTCATATCTGTTAGGTAGTTGTGGATGGAGCCACAAAATAACATAATGCTCATTATTTTGTAACGCAAAAACATGAAATCATCATCACAATAAAATATAACATTATGAATATTTTTTTTTTATGAAATTTCCAGTCAATGTGGGACCCATTGTTGGTGTAACAAGAAAGGACCAATTTAAGAGAATCTGACCACACATCATTATTCAATTATTATGATAGTTATTTTGTATCTACATTATTGGAGTTTGCGTACACACACACACACATATATATATATATATATATATATATATATATATATATATGTAGCTATCATCCTTTGCGAATTTCTTATACGTGTAAAAATCATATTTTTTTCCCAACACAAAAACTTTTTGGCGACAAAATTAAATGTATTTCATGGCTATAATTAATTAGGGGTGTCAAAACGAGCCCGGCTCGCGAGCTGACTCCTGGCTCTGAGACCCATTTTGTATTGTTAACCGGACCGGTTCACGTTTGAGACGAGTGAGGTATACCAAATTGAATTTTTGAATTCTGTTTTCGTTTTCTTTTTTTCTTTTTTTTTTTTTTGCATATTATGCAATTTGTCTGGGTTTCCTGTGTTTTTAACTCAGTATTCACACTCTTTTAATTTAATTATGCGTTTTTGTTATTTATTTCACATTTTTTTTTAATTTCCTTTTTCTGTTTTGATGGGTATTAATAATCGCCTGCAAGCTGTCTGATATGTAAGGGGTGTCAAAACGAGTCCGGCTCGCGAGCTGGCTCGTGGTTCGCCAGAAAACGAGTGATCTGAACCGTAATTTTTTCAACTCGTTAAAAAACGAGCCTAACGAGCCAGAGCTCATTGAACACGTATTCAACGAGTCTGGCTCGGCGAACTGGCGAGCTGCTCAACCAGCTGGTATTTTTTTAAAAATAAATTAAATTTATAATTATATTTAAAATAAATATAAATAAAAAATATTATATATCATTGGCTCAACGAGCCGACTCGTTCAGATCGAAAAACTGGCGAGCGATCTGAGCCGAGATTTTTCTGGCTCGTTAGAAAACGAGCCTAACGAGCTGAGCCTAAAACGATCCGAGCCAAATGAGCCGAGCTCAAAATGATCCGAGGTGGCTCGTTTGACACCCCTATAATTAATAATGAAAATGTATTAATCCTTTTTCTTTTCGTATCTTGCAGTCAACACACACGTATGTTTCATGAGTACATGGAAAATATCACCACTTAAAAATTACATTGACAACTACGCCAAGTAGGTGGATCGATATTTTATATATATATATATATATATATATATATATATATATACAATATATACTATTTTGTTCAGCTGCTCGGTTACTGTGTTGATGGGAACTCACGTATACTCGCCTATGAATTTGCCAAAAATGGATCTCTTCATGACATTCTTCATGGTACGGCAGAAAGTCACTTGTGGGTGTATTTGTTTTATTTCGTGAAATCATTATCCTAGATATGAAGAGTATGGATTTTGACTGAACAAAGCAATAAAACAAGTTGTTCCCAAAACATGGTTATCTAAATGTCTTCTAATGTATTTGACCGTATCAGTCGATCAATTGATAGATTGTTCTGAGAAGGACACATGGACAAAAGACTAGCTTTTAATTGATCCTGTATTTCTATCTGCGGGCAATGCTTCAACACATTTGTAATGCTCCAGGGAGGAAAGGTGTCAAGGGAGCGCAACCAGGTCCTGTCTTATCATGGCATCAGCGAGTGAAAATTGCTGTTGGAGCTGCAAGAGGACTAGAATATTTGCATGAAAAGGCAGAGCCTCACATCATCCACCGGGACATCAAATCCAGCAACGTTCTAATCTTTGATGATGATGTCGCTAAGATTGCTGACTTTGATCTCTCCAATCAAGCTCCCGATATGGCTGCTCGCCTTCATTCAACCCGTGTTCTTGGAACTTTTGGGTACCATGCCCCTGAGTAAGTTGGCTTCTGGTTCTTGTTGTTGCAACCCAACAATGATAGTACCCACTGTTAAATACGTGTAGTATGTGTTTTCCTTCAGTGTTCATTCTGACAAGACAATCACTTCACTTTTTTCACAGATATGCAATGACAGGACAGTTGAATGCCAAGAGTGATGTATACAGCTTTGGGGTTGTGCTGCTCGAGCTTCTTACTGGTCGGAAACCTGTTGACCATACGTTGCCTCGAGGCCAGCAAAGTTTGGTCACATGGGTACTAATTCTTTCCAACTTTACTCTCTCAAAGTCCTGACATTTTAACCTTCAACCTAAACCATCCACATGATAACTGAGCGTAGTAACTTTCTGAATGTATCAGGCTACACCCAAACTCAGCGAAGACAAGGTCAAACAGTGTGTTGATGCAAGACTTGGAGGAGATTACCCTCCTAAAGCTGTTGCTAAGGTAAACCAAAGCTGTGTCCTAGATGATTCTCGGTTTGTTATTGCTTGAATAACAGACAAGAAATCTATAATCTGGAATGTAACACTTTCTCTGTATAATCGATTAAGAAAAAACTCGAGATTGTTGCTTGTTTTTTTGCAGCTAGCGGCAGTTGCTGCATTGTGTGTGCAATATGAGGCTGATTTCCGGCCAAACATGAGCATAGTTGTCAAGGCACTGCAGCCATTGTTGAATGCTCGGCAAGGTCATGCAGGGGAAGTAGCTCCTTAGCCAACCCCTCTCCGTTTGTGGAGGTTACATCTCTATATATACCTGAAATTTAATATATTTGTTTATAAAAATGTGATTGCCCTGATGATTTATAATATCTGTTTTCTTCTAAAATGTGTCCCCTCCCCCTTCCCCCTCCTCCTATAGTATCTTTTGGTTTGTGTAATGGGTTTGAACATATACCCATAAATAGAAAGGGTAAGAGAGGTCAAGTAGTAGACAGTGCTTTTGTCGGAATACTTGCATGTGAATAATTGGCATTCTTCCTTCTTCTTTTATATCATTCATTAGATGAATAAAGTTCCCCCCATTTTGAGATAATGTCATGTATAAATATTAAATATAATCCTGCTAGCGTGTAAAGGGATAATATATTAATATGATAACGCTGGTTGAGGAGGATGATAATAATGAAATTCGTAAATCCGATGTGGGAAGGCGTTCTCTGCCGCTGCCATGGTTGGTCGTCACCAGCCTTAACTGTTAAGGCAATAATTATGCCACCAAATTCAAAGAACCTATAAGTAAATTAGGTTACTAGGAGAGATGAATATTCAACTCGCCACCTTTACATCTCGAATTATTGGGATATCTTTGGCAACTTTCCTAAGAATACGAAAAGAGCTTTCTCTTTAAAATTCATAAAATATATTCATATTTTATCAATTTGGTTGTTTCTTGAGGACGAGATCAATAATCCAATTAATTAAACAAATCCACACACAATATATATATATATATATATATATTCACTTTTAAAATAGAAAACCATAGAGGGAAATAAGTTTGGAAAATATGGGTTCGACGGAGAAAGTGGAACACAGAGTGGCTGGAAATTAGAAAACGGGAGGAAGTTTCTTTGTGGAGAACGGAAACGACAAGTCGAGTTGGTGAAACATACGAACGTGCGCCAACAAGATGGCGAACGATAGGGGTGTCAAAACGAGCCCGGCTCGCGAGCTGGCTCGTGACTCGCTAGAAAACGAGCGAGCTGAGCCGTAATTTTTTCAGCTCATTAAAAAATGAGCCTAACGAGTCAGAGCTCATTGAACACGTGTTCAATGAGCCTGGCTCGGCGAGTTGGTATTTTTTTAAAAATATATTAAATTTATATAAAAAAACTCTAATATAATTTTATATTAATTTTTTTCATATTGTTTATATGATATTATAAATATACTAATTATTATGATGGTGATAATTAAAAATATTAAATGGTATTGGTGTTTTATTAAATTTTTTATGTATTTATTTAAATTTATAATTATATTTAAAATAAATATAAATAAAAAATATTATATATCATTGGCTCAACGAGCCGACTCGTTCAGATCGAAAAACTGGCGAGCGATCTGAGCCGAGATTTTTCTGGCTCGTTAGAAAACGAGCCTAACGAGCTGAGCCTAAAACGATCCGAGCCAAATGAGCCGAGCTCAAAATGATCCGAGGTGGCTCGTTTGACACCCCTATAATTAATAATGAAAATGTATTAATCCTTTTTCTTTTCGTATCTTGCAGTCAACACACACGTATGTTTCATGAGTACATGGAAAATATCACCACTTAAAAATTACATTGACAACTACGCCAAGTAGGTGGATCGATATTTTATATATATATATATATATATATATATATATATATATATCCAAAATTTAAGCTCTTTTTATATTCAGGAACTCCATTGATATTCCTTTCTTCGACCCTCTCGATCTTCATTATAAATCCGACCAAAGTCACAAGTTATTGCAAAACCGAAACGGGAAATGGGTGTTCTTGATCACGTCTCCGATTACTTTGATTGCTCCGGTGGCGGATCCACGAAGCAGAAGAATTTACAGGTATTATATATACATACACGCGAATATATACACTCATATATGTTACTGGAATTCTTGACACCGACCTCCATTGATTTGGTAATAGACTGTGGAGGTAAGAGTGATGATAGACTGCGAAGGATGCGAGAGGAAGGTGAGAAGAGCGTTGGAAGGGATGAAAGGCGTGAGAGACATAGCCATTGAGCCAAAGGCTCAGAAGGTGACTGTGGTTGGCTACGTCGACGTCAGGAAAGTGGTGGCTCGGATCGCACACAGGACCGGCAAACGGGCCGAGCCCTACCCCTTCGTCCCGTACGAGGCCGTAGCTCATCCGTACGCACCAGGCGTCTACGACAACAGAGCCCCTGTGGGGTATGTACGCAACGTCGAGACCGACCCGCACGTGTCGCGCCTCGCTCGTGCGAGCTCGACCGAAGTCCGTTACACCACCGCCTTCAGCGACGAGAACCCTAGCGCCTGCACGATCATGTGATTTTTATCATGTGAATTTTTGAATCCATGTGTGTATAAATATGGAGATTGGAGTTCTTTAAGTGGAAAAAATGTAAATTTTATGGTTTTTGGATCTTTGGTCGTTTGTTCTTTATATTTTTTTCACACGTGTTTTTTTACAGTGCTTGTATTTCTTTTGGATTTTTGGTGTTGTTTAAAATAAATTTAAAGTAATATTTAGTAGAAAGTTAAGGTCATATAATACACAAAAAAATGTGTATCGAGATTATAAAAATAAAATAGATAATTAATACATTATATCAATAATGTATTCGGGAAGGGACCCAAGGCGATTCAAATAATTGTTGACTAAATTATCATAAAGAGATGATTATCTGTAAAAGAAATTATTTTCTTTGGATTCATTATTAAAGTTTTTCTATTTTGGATCTTTGTTATTGGCATAACGCAGAGAGTAATTATTGATAGCTGGTCATTAGTTTATGTAATGATTATTTGCTTAAAATATAACCTATTTAATCTGGTTGGACGAATAGTGCCACCAATTGCCATCTATCACTTCTCTTTCGCAGGATTAAAATAACAAAAAATTATTATAGTAAAGAATACTACTTATATCATTATGTCTAGATCTAGTGTTTTCTCACAATAAAATAAAATCATGATCATATATTCTTATAGCAGAATTTGAAATTAGCAATGGTTATTTAACTTATTTTAGTTAATAGTTATCATACCCAAACCAAATTTCATTTAATAATATTAAAATCAAGTAAACACGATTTTAGAACTAAATTAATTCAATACGATAAAAAATAAAAATAAAAATTCCATTAAAAATAGCATTTATTTTAACAAAAAAATCAACATAAAAACGAATAAATATAAGTTGGTATGGGTAGGCCTTTTCAATCAATTAACACATACGATTTCACCTGCTGTCGTCAGTCTCGTCACCAGCGCGGTCTTGTAACAACACGCTGTCTTTCTACTTCACAATACACATGCGTGCTGTTCTGTCAAATAGAAACGGCACACACTTAAATTACACAATCCAAACAGCAATCATGTCGTACGTGCAATTTTACCGCCTAAGCGAAAGCAGGATTGGCCATTTCGGTTATTAACCGAATCGAATCGAATCGAATCGAATAAGATATAATCGTATTCGAACCGAATCCGACATCAAAATCGAACGGTTATGATTTTCTTAAACACAAAAAGTCGAAATCGAATCGAATAAAAAAATAATCGAAAAAACCGACGATTTTCTTTGAAAAAATGAGTTTTTTTATCGAAACCGAACCGAAGTTTATATAAAAACCGAATAGTTATAGTTTTTCTATAACCGAAATAATCGAACCCGAATATAATCGAACCGAACACGAACCGAAACCCCAAATGGCCACACTGATTGTACTGTAACACTCACTCGTGAGATCCCCTCCTCTTTTTGGCGGGAAAGTCGACCAGGAAACCTAGACTGAGGGAGGAGGGGAGGGAGAGAGAGCGGAAATGGCGGAAGAAAGTAAGGAGGAGGCGGGAGTGGATCAAGTGGAGGAGGAATTCTCTGTGTGGAAGAGGAACACGCCGTTCCTGTACGATCTGCTGATCTCTCACCCGCTCGAATGGCCGTCTCTCACCGTCCAATGGGTCCCGTCGACGCCGAATCCGTACGCTGCGGATCCTTATTTCGCCGTCCACAAGCTCATCCTTGGGACCCACACCTCCGGTGGCGCCCAGGATTTCCTGATGGTCGCCGACGTCGTCATCCCCACGCCCGACGCAGAACCCGGATTGGGTGGCAGAAACCAGGACCCAGTAGTCCCCAAGGTATGTAAAAAAAGCCTCGGAATCTTCGTCTCATTTGGTTGTTTTCGAAAGTTGTCTTCTTCGCCTGCCAAATGTTCGATAAAATTACTGGCTGAAAGTGTCTGTTCCAGCGTTGTGAGTCTCTGGCGCCTTTTTATTGTTGTCGGAAAGTTTTCGTTACTGCGTTCTGGATATGTTAATCGGATTTTTTTTCATGAGTTAAAAGTGGATTCGAAGTGAAATTCGGAGTTTGGGTTTGTGGCATAGCGAAACAATGCTGAAGATTACCGGCTTAGCAGAAAATGTGGGAATGCATCGTGATCTCTCTGGTGTCTTGGGATTAATTTCAGAAGGGTTTCGTTCATGTCTTCTGGAAATGTTGTCTGAAATTGTTAGTGGGTTAAATTTTATAATGCTAGAAGAATATTGGATTATAGATTGCAGTTTCGGCCCAGCAACTTGTGCGCCAATACCATACTTAGTTACTGAAGTTATCGGCTTTTATGGCAGGCTGAGATAAGACAGAAAATACGTGTTGATGGGGAAGTGAACAGAGCGCGGTGTATGCCGCAAAAGCCAACGATCGTCGGTACAAAGACGAGTGGTTGTGAGGTGTTTGTGTTTGATTATGCCAGACATGCTGCCAAGACCCAAGCAAGTGATTGTGACCCTGACCTGAGGCTGAAGGGACATGAAAAAGAAGGGTACGGACTGTCTTGGAATTCTTTCAAGGAAGGTTATCTCCTGAGTGGTTCCCAAGATCACAAGATCTGCCTTTGGGACATTACAGCTACAGCACAAGATAAGGTTTTGAATGCATTGCATGTTTACGAGGTAGACGAAAATAACTTTGTTCTCTTCTGTTTTCTCGAGAGCTTGCTTCTTCTGGTCCTGTTCCTTGATGTGATCTCTGTGTGTAATGGTGTTAGGGACATGAAAGCTTGGTCGAGGATGTGTCGTGGCATATGAAGAATGAAAACGTATTTGGATCAGCAGGTGATGATTGTCGATTGATGATATGGGACTTGAGGACAAACCAAATGCAACACCAAGTCAAAGCCCACGAGAGAGAGGTAGACTATCAATATCACAGCTCATCTTCCTTGCATTGCTGCCATTGGCACTCCTAAGATTACGGTAGAAGATGATGTTAATAGAAAATGACCATGCATATCTTTCTAACTGTAGATTATTTTTGTTGGGTTGTTGATTGGTAAGTCATTAAGTAGAGATGGAGTAGCATGCTATTACGATCTTGACTAGGAACCCTATCTTTATGGCATGTTATTGTTCCATGGTCACACAGGTGAACTATCTTTCTTTCAATCCATTCAACGAATGGGTGTTAGCCACAGCCTCCTCGGACAGCACAGCCGCCTTGTTCGATCTCCGCAAGCTAAACGCACCCTTGCATGTTTTGAGCAGCCATGAGTGAGTAATATCCACAGTTCATATCTTCTCGCTCTTCTATCTGCCATCGTTGATGTTTGATCCGTAACACCTTCAATTCAAAGACGCCCATGAAGAATGCAATATAGATAATGTGTGTGTGTATATATATATATGATTATGATTACAGGGGAGAGGTATTCCAAGTGGAGTGGGATCCAAACCACGAGACAGTGCTTGCATCTTCAGGCGAGGACAGGAGGTTGATGGTTTGGGATCTGAACAGGTACATACAACAATAACACTCTTCGATTCGAACCAAGAAACAGATGAGAGAATCTTTAAAATTCAGACAGTAAGTTATTAGAGTATCGGGTTTGGACGTTTTTCTTAGGGTCGGGGAGGAACAGCTCGATGTAGAGTTGGATGCGGAAGACGGTCCACCAGAACTGCTCTTCTCTCATGGAGGCCACAAGGCCAAGATATCAGACTTCTCCTGGAACAAGAACGAGCCTTGGGTAATTTCTAGCGTCGCCGAAGATAACAGTCTTCAGGTCTGGCAAATGGCTGAAAGCATCTATCTTGACGATGACGAGGAAGGCGACGAGCAAGACAGACCAGAATCCAATGAAAACAAGAAGTAAAGTTAATGTAGTGATAACAGACAGTAGGTTTGAAGCTTGACTTGTTGCCCTTAGGCCTGGGATTCAAACGGTATTGCCTTGGTCTATTCGGACAAAACATCACAGAAGAGTATATAGTTAAATCAAGAACATAAACATGGAAAAGCCATAAAAAAAAACTGAACTTTTATATTTCCTCGTCTTTAACAAGGAGTTTGCGGATTCCTGTGATAATTTCGGAATCGGGTATTTAACCAGATGACATTCAGGAAATGCGGTAAAGTGTGAGGTCTCAGGGAGTGAAAGCTGGAAAACTCACCTGTCCAGAGATCTCAGCTTCTCCGATGAAAATCCCCACCCAACGCCTAAAGCTGTAATCCAGCAATTAAGAATTCATGCATCTTATAAAAAAAACTATAGCTTAAAGTTGTATAACACACAGAGTTAGGAAGCAATTTCTTCTGATCCTTAACGATTACCAGCCAGCTGTTCAGAATGGAAAACACGAGCTTTCCAAAATTCATTTCTAAACTTTGCCAAGCCAAGACATTCCAGAACTTCGTCACGAGCATATGTATCAAAACTATTCGAGCATGAAACAAATGGCCGAAGCAAGCGAATACGAACCCTCGTGAAAGTGAACAAAGTACATGCCTGGTGATGACGCTTCAACCCACTTTTGCTGCTCGAGGTCCACCTACAAGGAACAGCAAGCAGCATGTGTTTAATGCTAAGTAATACTTGAAAACCACCTCGTATAACCAATCCTCAATTGATAAAAAAATACTTGATTAAACAAAAATTAGCAGAAGTCCCAGATATATGGATACAGCCAAAGACAACAAACCTACTATCCGGAATTAAGCCACACAATGCAACTTCCAAAACGTTCAATGGAGAGCACGTCATCAACCGATGACACTTACACAAATTATATAGCACTGCAGGGAAATAGAAAAGAGATTCTAAGGTATTAGAGTTTCACCTTTCCTCTTGGTAGCGCCGGATGTATTGGAGTTGAATGGTACATTCCCAACACTACTGGCAGGAAGGTCATCAGTACCTGAATTCTGATTAGCCAGGCATTGTAGCTGGCCAAAGTCACAACCACTTAGCCCTTGACCATTCATTGGTGCACCTTCCCCGCCGTTCCCACCAACCCCCGGATGAAGGCAATAAGCTTCATCATCACATTGCAGATTACAAGGATTCATCATATACGAGAACGGCGCGTTTGTGGAGGGGAAGTTCGTGCTCATCGGTTTCTGATAAGGAAAAGCCCCAATCTCCCCCTCTATTCTTCCTCTTATGTCAACAAGCAAACACTTGAGCCTCGCAACCTCGGCTTCCAAAGCAGCCTGACCTTGCAATCTCTTCAACAGCTGCTGGTTATTAGCCCTAAGCTTGATGACCTCATCCTCCAACGAGGCGGCTCTAGCCTTCTTCTTCTCTCGATACTTCCTGACCGCTTCTCTATTACCCGACGGTCTCTTCTTGTTCTTCTTCTCGGAGAATTCAGCTGTGTCATCGGTAGAAACCTTTTCCTCGCTCTGAGCGGGCAGAATCTTGGTGTGCACATGGAAACATGTGTGAGTATGTGTGCTCTCTGGCCCAGGAGGGTTGCAAGTGTGAGTGTGAGTACAAGCATGAGAGTCCCTCAAAAGCTCATCAAAGAAAGTGTCCATTGAACAGCTGCTAGGTTGGATATCGTCCATGTTCGAATTCGAAAACACTTCCTGGTTCGAGAAATCAAGCTCACCGTCGTCCATAACAAGAACCCAGCAACACTAACGAGTTAGAAACAGTGACCTCAATTCGCGACAAAGTTCACAAGTATCCAGATGATAGATAATTCGGGGTACCACTACGCCAAAAACAACGAAATTTTGAAAATTGTCAAGCGCCTCCGGATCGACAGAAGAAGACCTAATTAACCAAAAAACGACAACAATTGGACTGATTAAGCCAGTGTCCAGATTCGATTGATCATGACTCATGGTAAGAGGAAATTTGTACCTGTCAGAGCCCTAGAATCGGATTTCGACGAAGATTTGGCGAATCAGCGAAATCACCATCATCACTGCGTGTTTGAATCCACGAAACCCTACACGGAGAATTTAAGCGAAAATGGCAAGAGATCTTTTAAAAGAGAAAGGAAGAGAATCCGAAAGGAAACCCTAGAAACAGAGAGGCGACGCCATTGATGAGAAGGACGCACTTGAGATTCTCTTTCGCATATCGATTCTGTGTATTGGTTTTCAAAGATCCGACGCATCTTTTAAAGCCTCTTTTATTTACTGATACGTTTTATTATCGTCTAAATTTTCTCGCTACAATAGTTATTTGAATATTTAGTTTTCTAGTCTAAGTATAATAAACTAAAAAATGTTATATTTGTTATGAAAAACGAAGAAATATAGAAGACCCGAGAATCAGATCGTTAACTAGAAACCGAAATCGATCGTTTGAGAGACCCAGGAACAAGATTTCAATAATTTTCTTTTCTTGGAATTATGTACAAATGAAGGAGAGAAATGAGCTATTTATAGAAAATCTGAAGTTACTGTTCACGTATACGTATTTATGAACAGTAACCGTATGGCGGCTAAACAGTAATCGTATGGCGGCGTGAACAGTACCCGGCTGCGTGAACAGTGTCCGGCTGCGTGAACAGTACCGTAGCTTCACTATTCATTTATAACACTCCCCCTTGGAGCTACGGTTAATCAAAATGTATTTGCGTGTCTTATACTGCCTCGTTAAAAACCTTATCAGTAAAACCCCTTGGGATAAAACCTGATAAGGGAAAAAGAGTGCAGTTCCACGCTCCCCCTGTATATCGGATCAAAGGTCTCGTAGATGACGCATTCCAATGTTATGTACATGTTTCTTGAACATTGATGTCGGTAGAGCTTTTGTGAATAGGTCTGCTGCATTATCACATGATCGTATGTATCTGACTTCAATCTCCTTATTCTTTTCCAGCTCTTGGGTGTATGCAAAGAACTTCGGAGGAATATGTTTTGTCCTATCACTTTTAATATATCCTCCCTTAGTCTGTGCAACGCATGCAGCGTTATCTTCAAATAATATTATTGGAGCTTTATTGGTTGATAATCCACTAGCTGTCTGGATATGTTGAGTCAAAGATCTAAGCCAGACACATTCCCGACTTGCTTCATGTAGCGCGATAACTTCTGCGTGATTAGATGACGTAGCAACCAATGTTTGCTTTTGAGAACGCCAAGCTAATGCAGTTCCATTGATTGTGAAGATATAACCTGTTTGTGATCTTCCCTTATGTGGATCAGATAAATATCCTGCATCTGCAAAACCAACAATTTCTTGTTTTGTACTTTTAGGGAAAAATAATCCCAAATCGATCGATCCTTGAAGATAACGGAAAATGTGCTTAATTCCATTCCAATGCCTTCGTGTAGGATCTGAACTATATCTTGCTAACAGATTAGTAGCAAATGCTACATCAGGTCGAGTACAGTTGGCAAGATACATAAGAGCCCCTATTGCACTTAAATATGGTACTTCAGGACCAAGTGTCTCTTCACCATCTTCACGGGGGCGAAATGGATCTGTTTCAACATTCAATGATCTATTAATCATTGGAGTACTCAGGGGATTTGCCTTATCCATATTGAACCGCTTTAGTACCCTTTTTGTATAATTAGATTGATGTAGAAAAATTCCCGTATTCAAATGCTCTATTTGTAATCCAAGACAAAACTTGGTTTGTCCGAGATCTTTCATCTCAAATTCTCCTTTTAAATAGGTGGATGCATCCTGAATTTCACGGGGAGTTCCAATGATATTTAAATCATCAACATAGACAGCAATAATCACAAACCCAGACATCGTCCTTTTTATAAACACACATGGTGAAATAGGATTATTTGTATATCCATTTTTCACTAAATGTTCACTCAGACGTTTATACCACATACGTCCTGATTGTTTTAGCCCGTACAATGATCGTTGTAACTTGACAGCGCATAATTCTCGTGGTTTTGATTTCAATATTTCGGGCATTTTAAATCCTTCAGGGATTTTCATATAAATGTTTGTGTCAAGTGACCCATATAAATAAGCAGTAACAACATCCATGAGACGCATTTCTAAGTTCTTTGAAACTACAAGGTTAATTAGGTATCGAGGATGCATCCTGAATTTCACGGGGAGTTCCAATGATATTTAAATCATCAACATAGACAGCAATAATCACAAATCCAGACATCGTCCTTTTTATAAACACACATGGTGAAATAGGATTATTTGTATATCCATTTTTCACTAAATGTTCACTCAGACGTTTATACCACATACGTCCTGATTGTTTTAGCCCGTACAATGATCGTTGTAACTTGACAGCGCATAATTCTCGTGGTTTTGATTTCAATATTTCGGGCATTTTAAATCCTTCGGGGATTTTCATATAAATGTTTGTGTCAAGTGACCCATATAAATAAGCAGTAACAACATCCATGAGACGCATTTCTAAGTTCTTTGAAACTGCAAGGTTAATTAGGTATCGAAATGTAATCGCATCCATAACAGGAGAATAAGTTTCTTCATAATCAACTCCGGGTCTCTGTGAGAAACCTTGTGCGACAAGACGAGCTTTATATCTAGCAATTTCATTGTGCTCATTTCTTTTGCGTACAAATACCCATTTACATCCAACAGGAGTAACCTCTTTCGGTTTAATAATGACGTGTCCGAATACATTTCGCTTATTCAACGAATCCAATTCAGTCTGTATTGCGTCTCTCCATTTAATCCAATCTGGTCTCTTTTGACACTCTGAAATGGATCTTGGTTCTGGATCCTCATTTTCATCAATTTCCTTTGATACATTATAAGAGAATATATCATCAATCTCTTTGATTTCTTTTCGACTCCATAATGTACCATTACTGATATAATTAATTGAGATCTCATGATTTTCATTGTCTGTATTTATACCATCATCATAAGGTACTTCATTTCTTTGATTTGGAACGCGTTCCTCCGAATCGAGCATTTCATTTTTCTTGGGCCCTTTGCTCTTTCGGGGATTTTTATCCTTAGAACCAATAGGTCGTCCACGCTTCAGGCGTGCTTTAGAATCGTTTATTACATTTTCTTTCATTTGTTCTTTCGGAATTTCGATTCGAGCTGGGACATTCGCAGCATCTATATATGATCTTGTTACCTTAGTTGTATCTGCAAAAGCATCTGGTAACTGATTTGCAATGTTTTGTAAATGTATGATCCTTTGAACTTCCAGTTCTCGTTGTTTTGCCGGGGGATCAAGATGTGACAATGATGGTGTACACCAATTAAGATCATTTTTAGTTCCCGCCATTCTATCATTTTCTCCCCCTAATGGTGGGAATTCATTCTCATTAAATTGACAATCAGCAAAACGAGCCGTAAAAATATCTCCAGTTTTTGGCTCAAGGTATCGTATAATGGATGGTGAGTCATACCCAACATATATTCCAAGCCTTCTTTGTGGTCCCATTTTTGTACGCTGTGGTGGGGAAATCGGTACATATACTGCGCATCCGAATATTCTGAGATGCGATATATTAGGTTCTTGACCAAATGCTAATTGCAATGGAGAATACTTGTGATATGCACTTGGTCTAATACGAATTAATGTTGCAGCATGCAAAATGGCATGACCCCACACAGAAATGGGAAGTTTCGTTTTCATTATCAATGGTCTAGCAATAAGCTGGAGTCGTTTGATTAATGACTCTGCCAATCCATTCTGTGTATGAACGTGTGCAACTGGGTGTTCAACATCAATACCCATTGCTCTCTTTGATTTCTTTTCGACTCCATAATGTACCATTACTGATATAATTAATTGAGATCTCATGATTTTCATTGTCTGTATTTATATCATCATCATAAGGTACTTCATTTCTTTGATTTGGAACGCGTTCCTCCGAATCGAGCATTTCATTTTTCTTGGGCCCTTTGCTCTTTTTTCGATATTTTATGGTATTAATTGATGCTTCAAGCAGATGGTCGCATGTATGTCTTTTATCATCACGTAATCTGGCATTTGCCCGATTTTTAGCCCAAATAATTAAATTAAGGGCTCAGTTCTCGGAATACTCAATCAAGAAAGTGAGGCTTGATAATGCTGGAGAATTTACATCACAAGCATTTAATGATTACTGTGTAGCAATGGGTATTGATGTTGAACACCCAGTTGCACACGTTCATACACAGAATGGATTGGCAGAGTCATTAATCAAACGACTCCAGCTTATTGCTAGACCATTGATAATGAAAACGAAACTTCCCATTTCTGTGTGGGGTCATGCCATTTTGCATGCTGCAACATTAATTCGTATTAGACCAAGTGCATATCACAAGTATTCTCCATTGCAATTAGCATTTGGTCAAGAACCTAATATATCGCATCTCGCAATAAGCTGGAGTCGTTTGATTAATGACTCTGCCAATCCATTCTGTGTATGAACGTGTGCAACTGGGTGTTCAACATCAATACCCATTGCTACACAGTAATCATTAAATGCTTGTGATGTAAATTCTCCAGCATTATCAAGCCTCACTTTCTTGATTGAGTATTCCGAGAACTGAGCCCTTAATTTAATTATTTGGGCTAAAAATCGGGCAAATGCCAGATTACGTGATGATAAAAGACATACATGCGACCATCTGCTTGAAGCATCAATTAATACCATAAAATATCGAAATGGTCCGCATGGTGGATGAATAGGTCCACAAATATCACCATGAATCCTTTCTAGAAATGATGGTAATTCATGCCCGATTTTAGCTTGTGATGGTCTGATTATTAATTTTCCTCTAGAACATGCATCACAAGAAAACTCATCTGATTGAAAAATCTTCTGGTTTTTCAATGGGTGACCATGAGAGTTTTCGATAATCTTTCTCATCATAATGGCACCAGGATGACCCAATCGATCATGCCAAACTTTGAACATATCGGTAAACTTCTGGTTTACTGTGGCATATGATTCAATCACATTGATATTAGTATAATATAATCCCGAAGATAGAGTGGGTAATTTTTCTAACACATATTTTTTGTCCCATATTGATTGAGGTGATACACAAATATTCAATATCACCTTTATTTATGGTTTCAATATGATATCCATTCAGTCGGATATCTTTAAAACTTAATAGATTTCTTTGGGACTTGGAGGAAAATAGTGCATCTTTTATAGCAAATTTTGTTCCTCCTGGCATTATGAAATCGGCTCTTCCGGAGCCTTCAATTATTTTTGCATTTCCAGATATAGTAATGACATTTCCTTTGTTTATTTTCAGAGTAGAAAAATATTTCTTGTCTGTTAGTATTGTATGTGTTGTAGCACTATCTGCTAAACATATATCTCCTCCTCGATTTGCAGATTTAGCCATACTCATTATCTATTGAAGAACAAAATAACATAGTAAACATTAGAAAATATATTATAACATTATGACTAACAGAAATGATGACACAGATACATAACTATTTTACAAAATGTAGACGCATTATTTATGCATATATGGATTATTACGAGGTTGATTACATATATAAACGATATAACTATATATATGGCTTTTTATTCATAATCAACGCCATCTTCAGGACGCGCAAAACCATCAGCGAGGTCCATGTGTGTAAAATCTTTAGCACCACCAGCATCATCATCCGAATTGTTTATGACATGATTTGTCTCGACACCTTTCCCTTTCGCTTCTTTAATCGATTTTTGGTAAAGGTCCACCAAGTGTTTAGCCGTGCGACAAGTACGTGACCAATGTCCTGTCATTCCACACCGGTGACATGTGCTTTCTTTCATCCGTTTGTTTGGATGATCATGTGTTCCCCCTCTATTATTGTTATGGTTTTGGAATGAGATTCCTCGACCACCTCCTCTATTCCAACTTCGGCTAACGCCACGACCTCGTCCTCGGCCTCGACCTCGACCTCGGCCTCTACCTCGAAAATAACCACGTCCTCGGTTATTATAAAATATAACATTCTCTCCAGGGAATGATATATTTTCTGTAACATTTACTTCAGGAAATGGTACAGAACCTGTCGGCCGAGATGCATGATTTTTCATCAGTAATTCATTATTCTGCTCGGCCAATAGAAGACATGAGAGAAACTCTGAGTATTTTGTATACCCCTTTTCTCGATACTGTTGTTGGAGGATAATGTTCGAGGCGTGCATAGTTGAAAAGGTTTTTTCCAACATCTCATTTTCGCTAACTGTTTCACCACATAATTTCAAAACTGATGTGATTCGGTACATCGCCGAGTTATATTCACTGACAGTTTTGAAATCTTGAAATCTGAGATGAATCCACTCATATTTTGCCTTGGGGAGGATTACCGTTTTTTGATGATCAAAACGGTCTTTTAATTTTTCCCAAAGATCCTGCATAATATTAGTGCTTTTGCTTTATTTTCAGTTGATGCACTTTTCTCTTTAATTGTGGCACCAAGACCTTTTGATTCCAAGTGCAAATCAGCATCCAATTGCCACGATAGATAATTTTTCCCCGATATGTCGAGGACCTCGAACTCGATATTAGCCATTTTTGCCATTATGATTTTGTCGTAGAAGAGCGTTCGTGCTGATAACGTGTTAGCTTTATTCATTATCATAGAGAATACAACATAACGAAATGCATGATTACATATAAATTGCTATAATTAGTAACACATACACGAGAGGTAAGACCGCAACGCAAATTGGAAACAAAACTGGGTCGGGATTTTTATCAAAGAAAATACCAAATGTTGCTACTACAATTGCTACAACAAAGAAAATTTTAATAAAATCCATCTTGGGATATTTTTTTTATTTCGTGGGAGAAGAAGATAGAAAGATGATTTTAGTGTGAGTTTTTGAGTGAATGGTGGAGTGTATTTATAGGGTAAAATTCACTATTCCTAGCCGTTGGGGAGGAGCCAAAATTTGATTATTATTATTATTATTATTTTTT